TATATATATATATATATATAAAAGGAAAGACAGATGGTTATTTTTTCTTTTATATTTTTTCAAGTATTGAACCCATCATAATTTTAAAGTTATGGGTTTATATCTACGTACTATTTTTGTAATTTTAATAAATTTTTACTCCATGTCGAAAGTTATGTGTTCAGTTGAACTCGTTGTTAATATACAACATCCGCCCCTGGTTTAATATTTCCTTCACAAAAATTCCAACTATCGCGTATCAATGATAAAAACGTACCCGTACCAGGTGTTTACATTAAGCCAATGGATGAGAGATATATGTCTTACATAAACACTTTTTAACACTTAACTATGATTAAGTGATATGCATTTTCACTTTGATTTATTAACTCTTGAGATTAATTATTTATCTAGGTGTAAACACTTGGTATGGATAAGTATTTACCTGTATCAATTACTACTTAACAGAAAATAGAAGGATGAATATTGTAGGATATAGGCATATAGCATTGGAACACGTCAATGAATGAAAACTATTTTCTACCCTGTAGTTAGCCTGTTTAGTTGTTGCGGTTTTAGTGATCAGGACCATAAGTTGTGGTTTACTTAATACATCAGTAATTTATAGTTGACCGAAAGAGAAGTCTGACTCTATTTTAGCCATGACAACTAAAGACACGAATCGTATTAATGAAATCAGTAATGTAATTAATACTCTCCTAAACTTAAGTTAATTACTCTTTCTGGGATTATTTTCAACAATTTAAATTTGGAAGACCAACTAGCAGACGCGGATGCACGCTTAACGAAGCGGTGTCACGCGACACTGATTTTATCGAAATTTTTTTTATTAAATATATGTATTAATACTGTAAGAAAACGGATAAATAGAAAAAAATTATCTCTTGGTGCGTCGATTATATGCTTGATTTTGTTATAAGAGGTTAGAGGTTAGAACCTCAACTAGCCCCATTCTTGTCTAGAAGTATGATCAAACAACAGAAACTAACTTCAGAAAAACATGGCACTTACAAAAAGAATCTTAAACAACACAAATCACAAAATCCAATTGTCAACAAGAAGTACAGACAGGGAAAGTACTGAAAAAACAAAAGAAAAGTAAAGGATAAACAGCTGCTACTTCATTGGTAGATTCTTAGTTAGTGCCTCCAAGAACACCCTTGAGCTTCTTAATTGTAGCTTCATCTAGGAAAGTGGTAGCTTCTACCAACTTAGTTGGCAAATCATTAGCAAATAAGGCAAAATCTGTTATCTGAAGTCCAGGACTAGAGCTGCTAAAGAATACAAAACCAACAGAAGTGTAACCAGCATCACTCACTTGAAAATGCAATAAACCTTGTGGAAATACCATAAGATCACCTTTTTTAAGTGTCTTTAAGTAAACAGCATTTGCTGAAGAAACAAAACCAGCTGTAATTGAACCTTGAATTACAAGTAAAACTTCAGAAGCACCAGGGTGAGTGTGAAATGGAATCACACCACCTGGAGCTAAGTCCAAACGGGCTGCAGAAAGCCCAAGCCCATTAAGGCCTGGAAATTGGGCTGCAAATGCTGGTGTAACTGCAGCTTTGATTATGCTTGCTGTGTTTCCAGCTGCACTAAGCCCAGAAAACACGAAATCGTCGACTGTTACATTGGCTACACTTTTGCAAGAATAGCCAGCAGGTGATTCTGGGCCTTTGAGATCTGCGACGCAGAAATCTTGGACAGCAGCATTGCTGCCCAAGATGAAGATACCCAAGAGAAAGAGAAGTTTAAACATTTTAAATCTCCTGGCTAGCTAGGAATAGTTTTGATTTGTATGGTGTGTGTATATATAGAGAAATTGAGTGAAGTGAATGAGAATTTGGGCATTAAAGAGAAAAAGAGCAAATTGAGTGCCACTTGAATTTCGATAGAGAATGATAACCACAAATTGTGTGATAGGGCTATCATGATCATGAATGGTGTCAATTGAAGAAATAGACAAAAAAATAAAACATAAAAGAAAAGAAACAAGGAGCATCTTTTTGGTACTGGACGTATACATTGGTTCATTACTATTGTGGGATATCTTGATTTCCAATTTGATACGTCCGACTTTAATCATTAAAAAATCATTTCAATGAGTATTGGTCACTAGTTGCACTGTTTTAACCTGGCAAGATGATATTTATATTCTATATTTTCTATCACAATACAAATGGTAAAGAAAGTTCAACATTGATGCCGCATACAGTTTGGTTGCCAAAATAGTAAAAGGGAAGTGCTAGAAATTAGTAATTGTTTTTACACTATCTGTGCTTTTGGTAATTTTCTTTTCAGAAGAAATACATCTTTCACCAGCTTTTTGGCATCAAAAGAACTTTAGTTTATCTAAGATAATTTCTCTCCAGCCATACTTTCTAGCAACCTCGTCGACATCTAAATGAAACAAATTTTTCCAACAATTTTCCCATACGTGATCAGTTTACTTGTTCGTGTAGTGTAAATAGTCTTGTTTGGAGCTAATAAAACTGGCCTGTTAATTTTTCTAGTGACGATCATGGGTGTAGAAGGTGGGATCATCTAATTTTTAGGCCACTTTTAAGATTCTAAGTTAATATTTTTTCAGTCTAATAATTCGGTGGGATATATTTCGCCGGGTGATTTATAGGAATAGTTTTTGAAGTGGATGGTCTTGAACTTTTGTTGCTCCAAAGGAAAAAAATTTAATTTAACAAGTTTTGCCCATGGGTAAATTTTTGACTTTTGACCTTCAATATTTGTTTGTCAAAAGTTCAAAACCACATATTTTTAAGGTCACTGGATGTAATTTCTTGTAAAATTAGTTGGATGAATTTTTCTTGTATGAAGGCAAATTTAGCCCACTGGACTAATAAGAAACATAATTAACTAGTGACCTCAAAAAGAGGTGGTCGCTAAATTTCATCCACTACGACAATTAAGTTACAAACTCCACTGTAACAATAAAGTTATAAAATAATCTTTTAATGACAGTAAAGTAATTGAGCAATGCGTAAATTGCTCAAAAGATACAAATGACCGGAAGGTTATATACATGATGCCGGAAAAAGAATTTAAGTAGTGACCACAAAAGAGGTCATTTGTGCAAATGGCCCCAAAAGATGAGGGAGTTGAGTTAATGAAAGTGGTCCTAATAAAGGGCACATGGTGGGAGAAAGGGAGAAGTCTAAAAGAAGACACAACTGACAGCTCGAATCCAGAAAGGCATCAAAGGTATAATACAATTCTCTGTCTTCCTAAGTAGCTAAAATGCATGGCAATTTGGCCAATACAATTCTTTATCGTGAAAAAGGAATTATGTGGACAATAGCAATTGCCCTTCCTCATATGCTGCAACCCTACCTTGTTATGGAAACTTTGACAAGATTTAACTGATTCCGTGGAATAATATCTCAACGAACAATGACTCTCTTTCAAAAGTTTTGTTCAAATGATTCTCAAAGAAAAAAGCTTCAAATTTTGGTGGTAATATCAACGTTAAGTTTTAATATTCTAAAAAAGAATGGTGCACATTCTGGTAAGCCATAAGCGATTTCGCATTACATGGAGTCTAAGTTTAGTTCAATTTGATAAATGTCCAAATATTTCTAAATATACACTTTTCTCAAAGTTTACTTGAGATTATCAGTTGCGACACCAGCTTAACTCATAAATATCATTCAAAGCTGTTTTCTTTTTTTACAAACCAAACTTCTTTCCTTTTCTCCAAGTTTCTTTCCTTTTCTCTACACTCCTCGATGCGTTTTCTTCCTTAGTTTTACAACACCTAAAAAGCAAATGAACCCATCGTAGTATCAACTCATTTCAGATTTCCAAATAGTGGATTTTATCTTCAACTCTGGCACATCAATACAACTTTCATCTTTAAAAAAAAAAAAAAAAAAAAAAAAAAAAAAAAAAAAAAAAAAAAAA